ACTTATATAACTAAACAACAACGAACTTGGTGGGGAACGTATTAGAAGTGGACAGATCATGAAAACCTCATGTAGAACATGGGGTTTGAGCTGAGTTTTAGAGGAAACTGGGGGTTCTGAGAGGAAGATAGGAGAAGGGGGCATATTCCAGGCATGAGGAATAACCAATACAAATACACAGAGATGGGAAATGGTTAGTGTGCGTGTGTGTGTGTGTGTGTGTGTGTGTGTGTGTGTAACAACATGGTTATACTGAAGGAGGGTAGTGGTGTGTAAAACTGAGAGTCAAAGAAAGGAGTTTGTGTTTGATCCTACATGTAATAGGGAACTAGTGGAGTGTATTGAACAGAGTGGGGTCACTGTCACAGCTGTGCTTTAAAAAATATCAGCTCTGTGGAGGATGGGTTAGAGAGGAGAGAAAGATTAGAGGCAAGGAGATCAATTAAGAAAAAAAAAGCAGTAATTAAAGTTTTAGGCTTATAGGTCAAATAGAATTAAGAGGTCTTAATACTATAATTGAAATAACTAGGCCACTAACAATCCACTAGCTATTAATTACAAGATTAATCTATGATATGCCCATTGGCTGGAATACATTAGAATACTCCAATGATACAGAAGACACAAAGGCTTCTTGTTCTAATAATATTACAATATCTGGGGTCTATGTAACTTGCAATGCATTTATCATATTTTTGAGTCCTTGAGGCTATGTTGTTACTGATTTGTCATAATTTAACACCACAAATGTATCTTCTGCTGGTTTTTCTTTTCTGTTGGATAAACACTCTGTTCTGGGTTTATTACTTCAATGCAAGTTTTGTATTCTGAGGTAACTGCCTAAAATTCATTAGAAGCTCTTTAAAAAGATATATAAACCCCTAGACTTTGCCTGTAAGTGGAGATTCTCAGCTAGTAAAGGAGATTCCAAGCTAGTCAATAATCTTTCAAGCAATTACTTGATAAAATAATATGGGTTCTTTTCTTTTTCTGTAAATTTTTAAAATTTTATATGTAAATACAAAATGAGAAAAGAAAAAAAATGCCATATGCACAGACCATAAGAGATGATTCAATATGAAACAATAAGTTTTCATTTCAAGAAAGCCTAAATAATAAACACTACACATTGTTTTCAAAGCTGCCCAGCTTTTCTTTGCTTCCTTGTTGGTTTTCTTTTATTCTCTGCTGTGCACTTTTTATTCTTTTTCTTCCCCCTCCCTCCCTGCCTAAAGAAGGCTACAATTAAGCATGAATATATACATATACGTGGATATGTATCAATATAGACATATATCCATAAATACACTCATACACATATATATGTACAATTGCACTATGCTTATTTCCTCCTATCATCTGTTTCTCTGAAGGTGGATAACATCTTCTTTTATAAGTCCAAGTCTTTCCATGTCTTTCTAAATCAACCAGCTCATCATTTCCTATACCATAGCAATATTCTTTTCTGGTTTCAAACAGCATCTTCCTTCGTAGTATCTTTGAGGTTAATTTGGGTATTTATAATGGTGTTAAAAGGCTTTTTACTGAGCCAGTTTCTAATCTGAGAATGCTCAGAGCTAAAGCACAAAGCAGACCTAGAGATGGGAGTGCCCGTTAATCAAGTACTTTAATTGATAGTTTCAGAGTGAGCAATGTTCTTTTAGCTGAAGTAAAAGCACAGGTTATATACTTACATCACAACTGGGGAAGGAGAGGGGAAGGTGGATTGCAAACAATCATTTAGTGGTTTCTCACAACAATTCTGGAGTCAAGTCTTTGGGGGTCATGACCACCTCCCCTAAAGTATAGAACCAGAGTTCTATGACAGGAACAGGTTCTGCAATCTTTGATTGACTTCACTTAAGGTCCAGTGATTGTGAATCTTGTCAGAGTTTTGATTAATCAGTTTAAGCTACATTGTGAGCCCTGACTCCTGAGCCAGAGAGGCAGCTCTTGAGAAAACTAAATTATTAGTATATTTATTACACATACATCGATTAATATGAAAATTACAAATTCCTTTCTCAATGGTCAGAATGACTTGGTTGCTCAAAGTTGTTCTTAAAACAATACTGCTATTACTGTATATAGTGTTCTCTTGGTTCTGCTAATTTCTCTTTTCATTATTTTGTGGAGGTCTCTCTCCATGCTTTTCTTTTTTAAAAATTTTTAATTAATTTATTTTGATTTATCAACAATCACTTCCATAAGCTTTTGAGTTTTAAATTTTTCTCCCCCTTCCTCCCCAAGATGGCCCACAATCTCATATAGGCTATATATGTACATTCCTATTAAACATATTTTTTCACATTAGTGATGTTGTAAGGAAGAATTAGAACCAATAGGAGGAGCCACCAGAAAGAGGAAACAAAACACAACAGAAGAAAAAAAAATAGCAAATAGTATGCTTCAATCTGCATTCAAACTCCATAATTCTTTCTTCAGGATGTGGATAGTATTTTCTATCATGAGGCCTTTGGAGATGTCTTAGATCCTTGTATTGCTGAGAAGGGTTAAGTCTATCAATATTAGTACCTAACTGATTATGTTATTCCCTTCTTGAGCCAAATCTGATGAGAGTAAGGTTCAAACAATGCTGATCTCCCTCCCTTTTTTCCCTCTGCTTGTAATAGGTTTTTGTGCCTTTTCTGTAATGTAATTTATCCTTGTCTGTCTCCTCCTTTCCTTTTCTCTCAGTACATTTTCTTAGTTAGATCAGATTAATCCACTTACTTGGATCCATTTAACCCACTTGATTAGATTTTTTTTATCATAACATCAAAGTCAACTTATACCTACTCCTTTTATGTATATCCCTTTAACATGGTGTAATAACAATACAGTTCTCAAGGTTTACAAGTGTCATCTTCCCTTGTAGTGATGTAAACAGTTTGCCTTTATTAATAACATATTGTTTCTTTCTGTCTCATTTACCTTTTTATGTCTCTCTTGATTCTTGTATTTAAAGATCAAATTTTCTGTTGAGCTTTGGTCTTTTTATCAGGAAGGTTTGGAAGTCCCCCATTTTGTTGAATATCCATCTCCTCCCCTGAAAGATCATGCTTATTTTCACTAGGTAGTTGATCCTTGGTTGTAATCCAAGCTCCTTTGCCTTACAAAATATCATATTCTACACCCTACAGTCTTTTAATGTAGCAGCTGCAAGATCCTGTGTAATCCTGACTGTGGTTCCATGATATTTAAGTTCTTTCTTTCTGGCTGCTTGCAGTATTTTCAGTTTGACCTGGTAATTTTGGAACCTTGGCATTTTCAATTTGGGATTTCTTTCAGGAGGTGTAGCTATATAGCTATTTTACCCTCTGGTTCTAGGACCTCAGAGCAGTTTTCCTTGATGATTTTCTGAAAGATACTGTGTAGGTTCTTTTTTTTCATTGTGATTTTCAGGTAGACCAATAATTTTTAAATTGTCTCTCCTGGATCGATTTTCCAGGTCAGTTGTTTTACCAGTGAGGCACTTTACATTTTCATCTATTTTTCCATTCTTTTGGTTTTTTTGACTGATTCTTGCTCTCTCATAGAGTCATTAGCTTCCATTTGCCCAATTCTAATTTTTAACAAATTGTTTTCTTCTATTAGATTTTGTACCTCCTTCCCCATTTTGCCAATTGTATTTTTTAGGGACTTGTTTTCTTCAGTGAACTTTTTTTCCAGTTGGCCAATTGTATTTTTTAAAGACTTGTTTTCTACAGTTAATTTTTGTCCTTCCTTTTCCATGCTATTGATGCTATTCTATGCTATTGACTCTCTCTTGCATACCTCTTACTTCTTTTTCCATTTTTTCTTCTACCTCTCTCATTTGACTTTTAAAATCTTTCTTGAAGGGGGGCTGAGATAGAAGGGAGGGCAGATTAGGGGAAGGGATATACAGAATGCATGCCACCTTGGGATAGGGGGAGGGGTGAGAGGGGAGAAAATTTGGAATTCAAAATGTTGTGGAAATGAATGTTGAAAACTAAAACTAAATTTTAAAAAATTCTTCTTGAGCTCTTTTTTTGTTTGTTTATTTCTTTTAGGCAATTGGGGTTAAGTGACTTGCCCAGGGTCACACAGCTAGTAAGTGTCAAGTGTTTGGTCTGAGGCCAGATTTGAACTCAGGTCCTCCTGACTTCAGGGCTGGTGCTCTATCATATGTGCCACCTAGCTGCCCCCTTCTTGAGCTCTTCTAAGAAGGCTTTTTGGGTTTCAGACCAGTTAATATTCCCTTTTGAGGTTCCAGATGTGGGTTTGTTGACAATGTTGTCCTCTTCAGAATTTCTGCTTTGATCTTCACTCTTCCCATAATAAGAATCTATCATAGGTTTCTTTTTGGTCATAGTGTTTGCTTATTTCCTGGCCTTTAAAGAGATTGAGCTCTCCTGCTGGGGAGCAGAGGGCACTGACCCAAGCTTCTTCTGTTGGGAGCCTATGGGCCTAGTCACTGCCTTTGTGTGCCGGGGCCTCCAATGTTGGCAGTTGGAGGCTGTTGGGTTCTGGCAGCTGGTGTTGGGCTGCAATCAGCAACACTGGAACTCTTAAGGGTAGAATTGGGTAGTGTGGCTCCTGGAGATTTCTTGCTCACCTGGGCCTTTCCTTCCTTTTGCTTTCTTCAGTTCCTTTCAGGTAGATGTTGCAGGATATTTATCCTCCTGGGGCCCCTTGGAGTGCTGCTTCCCAGAGTTTTGCTGAGGCACAGGGAGAGCTGGTTGCTGTAGAATGCTGAGGCACCAGTTTCCACTGGTTCCCCCACCTTCACTGAGGCACTTGGGGGTGCAGGTGTTGTGTTTGCCTGCTCCACCACCTGGGTTTCAGGATCTCCTCCTGGTATGCTGAGGTGGAGCTTTCTGCTAGCTTGCTGGGACGCCTCCCATTCTGTACTGCTCCCCTTCCCTCAGGGCAAGAGGGGCCTTTCCTGTTAATCCCTCAAGCTACCTGGGCTACTAGACTGCTACACCCCATCTTTCTTCTGGTTCAGCTGTTCCAGAGTTTTTCTTGGGCCGATATTTTATGGGCTTTCAGAGGTTGATAAGGGAGGGTAAGAGCAACTCACTTCTTACTCTGCCATCTTGGCTTCCAGGAGACCATTCTAAACAATGTAGATGGCTTATCTAAAGACACAGAAACAGAAGACAGGTTAAACCATGCTTTACTAAAATCATTGAGTTCATCATTTCTTATAGCAGAATAATATTCCATCAGAAACATATGCCACAATTGTTTAGCCATTCCCCAATTGACAGGCATCCGCATAATCTCCAGTTCTTTGCCACCACAAAGAGAGCTGCTACAAATATTTTAGATTATTTATATATTTATATTGTAGATTCTTTTTGCATCTTCCCTAATCCTTTTGGGAAACAGACCTAACAGTGGCATGGCTGGGTCAAAGGGTATAGGCAGTTTAATAACTCTTTGGGCATAATTCCAAATCTCTCTCCAAAATGGTTGGATCTGCTCACAGATCCACCACCAATAAATTAAAGTCCCAATTTTTCCACGTCCAATATGGATTTCTAATAGATCTGATTCCCAAATACAATTCTGCGCCTCTCTTTTATTTGCTTTCATGGAGGCCTTTATAAAAGTCCAGGGGAGAGGTGAGGCCCCCAGACTAGGGTGGTTGTTTTGTGAGTAGAGAAAAGGGGACAGATTTGAGAGATGTTTCAGAGGTAGACCTAACAAGACTTGACAAGGAGTTGAATATATGGGATGAGAAAGAGTGAGCAGACAAGAATGGGTCAAGTTGTGAATCTGAGTGACTAGAGCAGGAATGGCAAATCTGTGGCCTTGAGGCCACATGTGGCCCTCTAGGTCCTCAAGTATGGCCCTTTGACAGAATCCAAGCTTCAGAGAACAAATCTGTAAAACTTGGATTCAGTCAAAAGGCTGCACCCAAGGACCTAGCAAGCCACTTGTGGTCTCAAGGTTGCAGGTTCTCCACCCCTGGACTAGAGTGATTGGTTATGTGAGATGAGGAAAAATGAGGAGTCAAGAAGACTTTGAGGTATGAACTATGGCATTCTCAAAAGAAAAAGGGAAGTTTGAACAAGAGGTGGGTATTGGGGGAACTTCTGTTTTGGACATGTCTTTGAAGTACCTATGGTACATCCAAGTGAAAATGTTCAATGGACATTCAGTGACATAAAACTGGAGAGAGATTAGGACTTGCTCTATAGATATAGGAGCCATTTGCAGAGAGGTTAAAATTAAACATATAGGACCTAATGAGAACACCAAAGGCAAGATTATAAAGAAAGAAAATAAGAAGGCCCAAGACAGCTTTGAGGTAGAATCAAATTATCAGGAGAGACATGGAAGATGATCTTACAAAGCGAATGAGAAACGATCAAGCAGCCTGGAGGAGAAGCAAGAGAGAGCAAAATCAGAAGAGGCTACCCAGATACAGAGATCAAGAAGGATGAGGATTGAGGAAAGTACATTAGATTTATAGATTAAGAGATCATTGCTAACTTTAAAGAGCAGTTTAAAATAAGTGATGTGGTTGAAAGCCAAATTGCAAGGGAATGAGGAGTGAGGGATGAAGTGGAGGCAATCACTATTTTCCTGGGTATTTGACTATAAGAGGAAGTAGCCTACCCTCTTAATAGATAATAGTTCAATGTAACGTTAGGGCAGCTAGGTGGCATTGTGAATAGAGCCCCAGACTTGTCATCAGGAAGACCTGAGTTCAAATCTGGCCTCAGACATTGTGTGACCCTGGGCAGGTCACTTAACCCTGTTTACCTCAGTTTCCTCATTGTAAAATGAGAAGGAAATGGCAAACCACTCCAGTATCTTTGCCAAGAAAACTCGTGAAGAGTTGAACAAGACAAAAAAATGACAATAACAACAATGTAATATTAGGGTTAAGTGAGGGTTTTTTCAATATATCCTTCCCAGAAGGGATACTGATAAAGGGCTTTCATGAACCAGGATTCATCATGGCTAAGCCTAACCCTAAAGAGTGGGGTCAGGTTGCTCTGTCTCTCTCTGGCTTTGTCCACATCCCAAAGCTGACCTCCAGGGAAATCTCCAAAACAAAGTTTAATTGTGGCTTATATCTAGCATCTCCCTAAAAATGAAAATGCATTAACTGTACAACATGGACCTCGGATAGCGGCTTATTTCCTTCACCACAGGCACTAAAGACTCATAACTGTTCCCAAGCACCGAAAATACAATGCGTCTGAAACGGACTGTTACATCATCATCTGCCCTCGCCCCCAAAAAGCTGACGATGTTCAATGAGGATGACAAACTAATAATTCCCATTTACCTCAGACCCACCCTGTCATAGAACCCACAAGATCTAGATCTCATGGCTAGCAAGGGCATGGATTTGGCTTTTATTAGCTCATAAACCACAGGACGGCACGGCATCGGTCCTCCTGCTGAAGTCCAAGGCAGAGAAAATCCTCTAAGAGAGTTCACAGACAGAAGGGACCAGACGAAAGAAAACCCTTTCCCCAGCTCTCCTTAGAGGCTGATAGAGGAGGGTCCTGAATAAGAGTCTTTTCCCTGAGGACATGAAGTCACCTATCATCTTGATTCATGTTCTTTCTACAGCTTCCCCACCCCGGCCCCCTCCCACCCAGGGATCAATCAAGAATTGCCTAGTCTAGGGGCAACTGGGTGGTACAGCAGAGAGATCAGAAGGAACTGAATTCAAATATGGCCTCAGATACTCACTAGTTATGTGAACCTGAGTAAGTCACTTAACCCTGACTGCCTCCAAAAAAAAACCAACAACAAAACAAAGCTGTTGCCATCCCAGCAAAACACATGAGCTAGATCACGTGTCAGCTCCAGGCAGGATACCCCTAATCTCCTCCACACAGACTGAAGTGATTTTCCTAAATCAAAAGTCTCGGGGCAGCTGGGTGGCGCAGTGGAGAAGCATCGGCCCTGACGTCAGGAGGACCTGAGTTCAAATCCGGCCTCAGACCAGACACTTGACACTGACTAGATGTGTGGCCCTGGGCAAGTCACTTAACCCCAACTAGCTAAAAGAAATAAACAAATAAAAAAAAGTTTCTACACATCCAGGCTTCAGTCTCCCCATTACCTCTAAGATCTAAATTCTCATATTTCCAACTGTCTTTCAGACATCTTTAACTCAACTTATCAAAACTGGAGTCATTAAACTGGACCTGATAAACACTTCCCCCTTCCAAACTTCTCCATTACCATGGAAAATACCACCATCCTCCCAATTTCCCTGGGGTTCAAAACCTAGATGTGACCCTTAACTCTTCACTTTCTCTTCCCTAACTCATATCCAATCTGTTGCCAAGGGCTGTTGATTTAACCCCTGTAACATCTCTTATATAGATCTCCTCCTATCCTCTGAAACTGCCACCACTCTAGTACAGACCCTTACCAACTCACGCCTGTTCTACTGAATAGCCAGGTGGTGGGTCTGCCTGCCTTAAGTCTCTCCATACGCTAGTTCATCCTCCAAAGTAATTTTCCCAAAGAGCAGGTCTAACCATGTCACTCCCATACTCAATACACTGCAGTGGCTCCCTATCACCTCCTGGATCAAAAAAAGAGTATTCAAAACCCTACTTCTCCCTCCTTTCCAGTCTTTTTATCCCTTACTCTCCTTCACATTCTCTGATCCAGGCATTTTCTCTGGCTGTCTCCTGTGCTTAGAATGATTTCCCTCCTCATCTCTGCCGCTTGGCTTTCTTCTTTAAAATCTCACCTTTCTACAGGAAGCCTTGCCTAACCTGTCTTAATTCTAATGCCTCCCTTCTGTTGATTATTTCTTACTTATCTTGAACATAGATTGTCTGTACATATTTGCTTGTTGTCTCCCTCATTAGATTGTGAGCTCATTGAGGGCAGGTACAGTCTTTTGCCTCTTTTTGTATCCTTACTGCTTAGCACAGTGCCTTGACACATAGCAAGTACTTAATGGTTGCTGTCCTGGGGAATTGGAAAGTATTGATATCAATCAAAATAGGGAATTTTGGAGGAGAGGTAGGTTTAGGGAACAGGATGGATTTCAGTTTAAGTTGTGAAGAGTTTAACGTACTGATGGATAAGATATCCAGGTGGAGATGTCTGGGAAGCAGTTGAAGTCTAGCTACTGGATTTCAGAGGAAAGATTAGAGCTGGATATGGTTGGTTATTATCCTTCATGCTTGAAGAGGACCAAAATGACACCACCATGTTGGAGTCAAGGTATAATGTGTTCAATTATAGCCGATCAGACCAATAGGAGCTTAGAAGTCTCTACCACAGGTTGGGCACAGATAGTCCAGATATACATTTGAAGTAGAGATGTTAATTTGTACATTTCATGTTTCTTTTAAGCTACTGAGATTCTGCCTTGCTCATAGAGCATAGCACCTTTTTTTTTTTTAACGTGGGCATGCCATACTGGGCGGTCCTATGCCAGTATCTTCCATGTCTCACAATTGGTTCCAAAGTTCTTCAGAGAGACATGTAAGTGCTTCCCTTGTGTGCCTGGCACATAACAGTTCCTTAATAAACGATTATTGACTGACTAACTTCATTACCTGGTTCCAACTTACATTTCAAGCCTTATTACACATAATTCTCCTTTGTTCACCGTGCAGTTCAACTGGACTGGCCTTTTTAACATCTTAACAGGTAAACTGCCTATAGGGGACATTTATCAGAGCATTCAATGATTTTGCCTGACTGGTTCTAGTAATCTGAAGGGAAGCTTGGTAGAGGCTGGCTTTCTGCCATGTATGACTCATTGATGAGTCACATATTGCAGTATAGGATGACAAAGAGTCTTCTCACTGGCTGCTGAGTGGGAAGAGTTGATGACTTGGGATGTACAAAAGGAAGCTACTGGGCTCTTCCAGTCTCTCTCTCCTTTTCTGGCAATGAAGCAGGTTTCATCTGTATACGAAGATTTGGGTGGGGGAAGAGGTAATTGCTCTGTCACTCTCCTGGCCTCTATATAGCAATATGCACATGGCTTTCTCTGCCTGTTTTGTGTTTGTTTCCCCAATCTTAGGGGAATGAATATATTATGTGTAGAACTCGAGGTGACCTTATGAGTTCTTAGAGGTCTGAAGGCCCTAGGAGACCTGTGAGTTTGGAGAGAGTGGCTACCACCAGAAGAGGGGCCACACCTGGACCACTTTGCCAGCTGAGTTGACCAAATTGGGCTTTAAGTAAAATGTAAAATGGCTGAGTATTTAAATTACACTATGTTCTGATGAGCTCTACCAGATTCTGAGAGGATTTCAACAGTATTTATAAATTGTTACCAAATCTTGTTCAAATCATTCTGTCAGTACATGCCATCATTCTTTTTATGTTTAGCATTTGTTTCTTTATAGGTATAAACTACTTGTCCCATATCTGATTCATGTTGTGAAACGGGATGTTAGGGTGTGAATTTTTTAAAGAGCTGAAGAGTGTGAGAAAGAGGCCCCTAACTCTCCTAATTAGAGGAAGGCTTTCTTAGCACTGGAATCTGATTTAAGGTATGTTTGAGTTCAGAAAAGGGAGAGATGGAAAGCCCAAATCTGTACTCCCAGTAGTAGTTCCTTAAAGATAGATGGGAAAATGGTCCTACTTTATCCTCTTTGTCCTTTCAATTTCTGTCATGACACCTGGTAACTAGCAACTTGGACGTACAGATAACCCTGAAGCTCCAACAAGCCTCCAGAAAATAGTAAAAAAAAAATAAAATAAAAACTGTATCGGAGTGTGAGCGAAAGAAGAAAGCTTCTGCATGCACACCTAATCAAATGAAATGACATATGTAAAAGAGCCATGAAACCTAAAAGTGCAGTATAAATGCTATCTATTTATCTAGCTAGATAGCTAGCTATTATCTAATAATTTATCATCTATCTATTGTCAAAGTGTAGCCCAAGGACTCTTAGAGGTCCCTGAAACCGTTTTGGGTTATTTTCAAAATTATTTTTATAATAATACTATTATTTTTTTAAACAACTATGTATCTGTGTGAGGTCAGATTTTCTTTATGTTCTCCAAACAAACCAACATATCACAACAGATTGAATGCAGAAGCAGAGAAGAGAAGCCAAATTCTTCTATTAAGTTAGAGAATAGAGTGATTAGCAAAAATACGTAAAACAATGCCATTTCTCCCTAAATTTTGTTTTGGAAAACTAAATTTTGTTTTGGAATTATTATTTTTCAAAATAATAATAGCTAGCTAGCAATATTTTGTTGCTTTAAGGTTTGCAAAGCACTTCACCGATTTTATTTTATTTGATCCTCACAAAAACCTTGCAGGTAGGCGCTATTATCCTCAGCTTCTAGATGAGGAAACTGAGGTAAATAGAAGTTAACTAACTTGCCTGAGGTCACACAGCTAGTAAGTGTCTGAGGCAGGATTAGAACTTCTTCCTGTCTCTAATAGAACAACAGTCTATTCACTGAGCCATTGTCTCCCTTATTAAAAAACAGTTGTGTTAACATGTAATGGACTTATTATTGTCATTTTGAAATGAATTAATAAATACATATTTTAAAATGAATCAGTTTTAATTTCTAGCTGGATCCAGTTGGATCCGGCTAGAAGAGTCAGTTAAATTTTAAGAGTTAAGTTTTCAGTCAGATTTTTGGAAATTGCAAACCATGAGAAACCAAGGCTTGATTTATTATTTTACTGATGTCTTAGGCTTAAGAAGGTGAGGAAGAAAATGTTAGTAATGCAGATTAAACTTAAAGTGGCCCATCCCTGCCCAGAACCAGTTGTAAAACATTTACCACTCTATCACCAAAACCTACCTAAGCACGTGTATGATAGATTGCTTGCGTTCTCACTGGTTGCGGCTGGAGGGATGGAGAGAATTTGGAACCAAAAAAAAATTAATGTTTAAAAAGAGAAACTCACCTAAACAAAAGCTCTTTGGGTTGGGGGGTCCTCACTAGTATCTAAAAGTGTAAAGGGGTCCTGAGTGCAAAAAGTGTGAGAATACCTGGATTAGATGACCCACCAACCAGGAACCTGCTGGGGAGCCACAGCTGACAGCCTCATTCACGTAAGGACTCTGTTCTCATCAATGAGAGACTGACTGTAGGCCCAGAATGGGCCAGCAGGGGGCGCGGCGCTCTCGCTTTAGCTTTCCTAGCACTGGGCGGGGCCTTACCGTCCTTCTCTCTGTCTTTCTCTCACCCCTCCCTTCGCTGTCCCCGCCGCCGCCGCCGCGCTGGGTCACGTGACTTTCCGCTCATGGCGGCTGTGGTCGGAGGCTGGCTCGGGAGCTTGTAGCCCGGGGTGTGGGGTCTGGTGCGTCCCTCCGTCCCTCCCCCGACCCCCCGCCCGCCCCCTGTCTGTCCTCTCGCAGCCCGGCCGGCGGAGCGGGGATGGCGGAGCGAGGCCTGGAGCCGTCGCCGGCCGCCGTGGCGGCCTTGCCGGCCGAGGTGCGGGCGCAGCTGGCCGAGCTGGAGCTCGAGCTCTCGGAGGGTGAGGAGTCCGGGGCCGGGCCGGGCCGGGGGAGAGGAGGAAAAAGAGGAGGAGGGAGGGAGGAAGGAAGCCGGGGGAGGGTGCTCTTTGGAGGAGGAAGGGCCCCGTCCCAGGGCCCCGTCCTAGGGCCCCCTTCAGTGCCGGGAACAAATCTGTTGCCCGGACTGCCCCGGGAGGGCTTCCTCCCCGGGGGACGGATTTTTGCCGAGGTTTCATTGTCTCCCTGAAGTGGCAGCGGCTGGAGGAGGAGGAGGAGGGCGAGGGGGAGAGGTTTCCTTCGGGCCTGGGCTTCCCCTTTTCTGCCCCCACCTCCGGTTCGAGACAAAGCTGCTCCCCCCCCCCTTCCCGCTTAGGGGCGAGGTAGGTAGGGCTGCTGGCAGCTTTCCCCAAACTCTTCGGAGTGATCACCCTCCCTCTCCTCCGCGCTTGCAAATAGAATAATAGAGAGCAAAGAACCCCAAGCACCAGCAGCCCAGCCTAGGAGGAGTCTGCAGCCTTTCTCCTTCCTCCTCTCCTCCGGAGTGCTGTCTGGCTGTCTGTCTCTGCAGTGACAGGGCTGGGATAGGATGAGCGAGGTCCCTCTGAGTCTCCTCTTTCCTAGGGTCTCCCCAGGTGTCTGCGTGAGGGGGAATTCCCCACCTCTAGTCTCCGCTTCTGATGCTCTGAAAGGGGCAAGACCAAATGGAGCCGCTGCTTAGGATACTTAGCTTGTCACCCTCTTTCTTTGGACCCCCGGAATAGGAGAGAAGCCTTGTTTCTAATTTGAGGGTAGAGGAGATTGCGAAAAATCAACCACTGTTGTCACAAAAATAAGTGCCTGGGACAACAATGAGAGAAGAACACAGGGCAGTGTTGTCTGCGTGTGAAGAGGCTTGTGATGCAGTTGTGATCAATTCCCCTGTAAAGTTCCTGTTTGTATCGGAGGCTGTCTCTCCAGGGACAAAACTAGCATTTTTTCTTTGTTGTACACATCATTGCTTCAGTGCTGTCTTAAGATCAGGATGTTCTCATTTTGTTCCCTTTTAATGGATGGTCCTCTAGAATTGCATCTTTCTGGAACAAAAATACTGGCTAATTGAAATTGATGAAGGTGGCAGATTCCCAAGTGAAGAGGCTGAGTTTTGATTACTTTTGAAAGAATTGTATATTTAATGGAAAAGTAGCAGCAATGTTAGATGTAGAAGTCCACTTAAACGCTGAAAAAAAGTCACTTATCTTTTAGTCTCTCTAGAAGAAAATCTCCCATGAGTTTGGTTGGTGTTTTTTTTAAAGCCCTGTGAAAAGTATGACATCTGAGTGTATTGGAAAATTAAATTCAGCAAAACATTTAAGTGCCTCCTCTCCTAAAAGCTCTTGGCTAGGTGCTCAGAAGGAGACACAAAGTGCCTTCCTTTTGTTGATTATTTCCATTTTATGTCTTCTTTGTACAGTTGTCTGCATGTCTTTTCCCCCATTAGATTGTGAGCTGGTCCAGAGCAAGAACTTTTTTTTCCTTGGCCTTTCTTTGTATCCCCAGCACTTAAGATACTGCCTGGCACATAATAGGTATTTAATAAATGCTTCTTAATTAAAAGACTGGAGATGGAGTTTGGTCAGTTAGTTTTAAAGTCATCCTTCTACATGTTTCACTGAAATTAATAGGGTAATTCTATGGAAAGTTTCATGTTTATGGGTTGTCTGACATTATCAGAAGCCCCAAAATTATTCATGCTGTCATGTACTTTTCCATGTGAATGCTGAATAGCGTTAATTGGCTGATTAAGGGCAAAGATAGTTTATTAGACATACATTTTCTCTTGAAAATATTCTAAAATCAAGTGAATTTGTTTGGCTATCCATTCAAGCACATGGAAATACTTGTTTTTTTCCCCACATAATTTTCATACGAAACCAAATGATAAATTTCAGTACTTTGGTGGGGGTTCGACTGACATCAGCTGTTAAGATTAAAACCCTTTATACCAAAGTAGTTGTTTTCATGATTCACTGTGATTGAACAAGTTGATTGCCTTTTTGCTTCCCTTGTGGTGATCTGACTCTCCACACTTACCAAGTTTGGTCCTCAGACTGTCAATAAACAGGCCATCCATAGGCCCTTAAAATCTTCTGGTAAGATCTGCCAGAGATCGTGTTGTACTGATATGTGTCATTTTCACTTTACAGGAAACACTGAAGTAGGGTTTAGGGAGTTCAGTGACAGCTGATTTCAAAGTTTGACTGAAATGCACTTCATTTTATAACATCTTAACATAGAATTTGAGAAATGTAGAGAGTATGTATTCCAACTTCCTTAGTTTTATAAATAGGAAAATGAGTGGTTAAAACATTGAATAGTTTTGATCATTTAAATAGAAGGGGGTTCAAAAGAACCAGATATGTTTTTGTACAGAGGAAGGGAAATTTATGATTCCTTTTATTGTATATCTACTTTATGCTCTGTCTTGTTCTCTGATTACTGTTTACACTGTTTCTAGAGATGATTTTGAATAACTTCTTCGAAGTCTCACAAGTGATTAGCTCATCCCTCTCCTTCAAAAAGTGTGAATAGCTTACAAACTGTGAATTCTTAGGCTAAAGTATTTTTAATGCCTTTAGCTGCACAGTTTGCTTTCTTATGAAGCAACTTAGGGGGGTATTTTTATTAATACTTTGACCTTTTCTTAGCTTCTTTCTGGTAGGTAGGTTTTGTTTCTTTGTATTTACTTTCTCTATGGTACAGTGCCTGCCTGGCCTATAGTGTGCTCTTAATAAATAGTTGCTGATTTATTGATTATTCCTTATGTAGCATTATGCCACAGTTATTCCAAATGGCATATCTTTTGGCTTTAGGGAACTGTTCCAAAGATCATATTCTTTATTTTCTACATATGTCAGTGTCAATCATAAAATTGAATTGAAGAAAATATAGTGTAGAAATGTTACTGTTAAAATAGCTCATTTATAGTTTATTTTACTTAAAATACCAATCAGAGTTAGCTTGGGAATGGGGATTGTTTCTAAGGAATGTGAATTTAGTTTAAAAAAAAACAACCACCACCCAGCTATATGCCTGTAGCATAGTGTTTCTTGCTATCTTCATCATATTTTGGAAGGACCACTTTTATTCTAATAAAATTTCCTCTACTCTGTTTTTCCAAATTTCTTTTGATGATCCCAGGAGGCTATGTGGAGCAGTAGATGTGGAGTCAGGAAGACCCTAGTTCGAAACTGCCTCAGGCATTTAACTAGCTGTTCCACCCTAGGCAAGTCATTCAACCGCTTTGCCTCGGTTTCCTTAACTATAAAATAGGGCTAATAACAGTACCCACCTGCCAGGCTTGTTATGAACATCAAATGGTATTATAATTGTAAAGCACTTAGCGCAGTGCCTGCCATATAGTGGGCACCATGGAAATGCTTATTACCTTCCCTTCCTTTCCAGTGGTGTTTCTTTAACATCATTACCCCACTGTCTTCTTTTCAAGGGTAACCCCTCTACAGGCACCCTTGATTTCTCATTATCTCTCAGCTGCACTATTTGAATAACCTTTTAATTAGTTTTCCTCCCTAAAATCTCTGCCTTTTCCCAACCTCCACACAGTCAGAAAGTGACTTTTCTAAAGCAAATGTCTGACCATGTCTCTCTGCTACTCAGTAAATTTCGATGGCCCCCTGTTATCTCCAGGATCAAACATAAATTTCTTTGGCATTTAGAATTCTTCAGCACCTGGTCCCATCCTATCTTTCCAACGATATAAAACACAGTACCCTCCTTCATGTTGTCTAACCAAACCGATCTTCTTCTTGCTCCTACAGTACAACACTTTTATCACTTGTTTTTGTACTTACTAGTTGTGCTCTCTACCCTGTACTCCCTCCTTACCTTTGTCTTTAAGAATTCAGGTGTCACCTTTTGTGAAGCCTTAGTGCATAAGGAATATGCATCTGGCTGCCTTCCCCTATAAAAATTACCTTGGGTTTATTTTCTATATATTTGTTTCTGTATACATATATTGTTTCCCTGATAGAATTTATGTTTCTCGGGGGCAGGCAGTGTTTTCTTTTTTCTTATTTTTCTCCAGGACCTAGCACTGTGCCTGCCATTTAGTAGATACCTAATTAAATGTTTCTTGATTAATTGTATCCTTTTTTAAGGATCTGCTGTAGCCTGTCTTAATTTCATATTGCATGGTGTATACCATGAAATTATTCTGTGATATATTTTCAACTTAGACTTTGGTCATAGCTTAAATTAACTGAATAGTTTAATATCAAGCGTATGTCTTGTTATTTGCTGCAGAGTGTGCAATCTAGTCACATGTTATTTAGTTTGTTTTAGACAGTTGACTGACTAGGTTTAGAAGTCTAATTGTTGCTTCTGCACCAAAAGCAAAGGCTGCCGTTGTGAAACTGGAGACCTGAGAAATAGTCTGATTGAACTTTTCTTAGATGAAAAATAGCGTAAAGCAGATATGAAATTAATACAGATGTTATCTTTGGAAATTAGTTTAGAAATGTGACATTGTTCACTAGTTTTTTTGACTCATTAAAATGCCACTGTGGCATGAACTTTGGTTTGATTTTAGGTCTGACTTTTTATTTGTTTTTTTTCTCTGCCTTTTCTTAGTTTATTTTCACAGTCTATAGTAATAGTCTTCACATTACGTAGTACTAATGGTAAACGTTGTTTGGACTTTCATCTGCCATCTCATGATTTTAAATATCTTTAGAATGATGACCCATCAGACTACTGAGTGTATTTTTTTAACTATTAGGAAGTACCTTCCAAATAGTTGCTGGCCCACACCTCAGGAGAGCTTACATTTTTATTTCTGATAAAGATGTGAACTTTGAGCTATGTACATGTGTTTCCCAGTCCCTGTAAAGCCCGTGTAACCAAAAACTCTCAATTTAGGAAACAAATAAAGAAACAGTATTTTGAAAAAGTACTTACATACTTTGATGGATCTGTCATCCCCATGTGGATCCTTTCTCTACATAGCCAGATGGCAAACCGTTTG